CATGTAAGTGTAACGGATGCTGGAAAATATAGTCTGCTTACTTCATGGGATGTAGAGGCACATTTCATGAGCACAGAATATCTGCTACCGATTCTTACTTCCTATGTATTGTGCACTTAAACCTCATTATAATAAAAACTGCATAACAAATATGTGTTACCATCATTAATACATTTCCTGATCACTCAGGGTTAAAAATTTTATTCTTCGGAGAAATATTCTTATATTTTAAAAATAAGATATACAAGACATGAAGCAAGTTATGTCATTCCAAAAAATTCTTCTGGGGGAAACTGTGTAACTTTATCAATTGGTTAAGGACAGGGACAAGTAATGCGTTTATATCCAAAGAAAATGACTTTTGGAAAATAATTATTAACTCCAAGAGTACATAGACATCAAAACCAAATATCACTTTTTTTCTCTTCTCCAGAATTGTACCCTCTAATTACATTTAATACTTCCTAAGTAAACAACATGTAAACCAGAGTTTTCTTTAAAAATAAAAACAACCACATATCCACACTGTAATGATGGGGTATTTGCATGGCGATTACAAAGCCATTATATTGTCTTTCTTTTAATTTAGTCAACTCTATCTCCTAAATCTTGTTGAGGCAAAGTGGTTGAGCTAAGTAACTTTTAACTACCAAAGTGTTTATCTTATATAGCAGTTGTCATTGGTACTATTGTGATTACTCTGCTATTTATTTTTCTTAGTTTAGTAATTTGAAAAAAAGAGTATTTGAGATATCAGTTAAGCTATTACACAAATCTGGCTGTACTTTTAATATTATACAAAATATTGTACAAAACTGGCTGTATTTTTAATATTCTGGTTTAGTAATTATTCACATTTACTATGGAAAATTGAGCAATAAATTTTAGATAAAGAATATAAAAATTATCCTAAAACACAAACTTTTATGAAATTAAAACCAAATATTAAATTATAAAATCATCCTTTTTATTCTTATTTTGGAAAGTTTTGTATGTCTGTGTTTCACATTACTATTTAAAGTAAACTTTTATGAAATATCACATATATACAAAAATGAACAATTTATAATTTTGTAGCATGAAGAATTTCCATAAATTGAACTTATTTGTATAATCAAATCCTCATATCATAAATAGAACAGTACCAATAACACAGAAACCTCTTTCATGCCCTATCCTAATCATCATCCTCTCAAAGTTAACTTCTATCCTGATTTCTATTGCTGTGGATTAGGTTTGTCTTTTTAAGGACTGTAGGATGTTGGAACTACAAAAAATGTAATATAGTGGATCCTAGGTTGGGCTATCTGTTCCCCCTTTCAAACGAAAGCAATTATTCCCACGGTTGCCATGAATTTTGGCTTCTGACAGCTCATGGATGTGTCCCTCTCAGAGAATTGTCCTTGGAGGGAAATCACCCAAGGTTACACCTTCTCCATGGAGGCAACCTACACATAATACTAAGTGAAGTACAATGGCCAAGCCCCGTTATTTCAATTTGGGAACAATCTAAAGGACCGTCTCTCTACAGTTGAGACTGAATTCCATCTCTCAACCATAGAGATGAAATGCGATGGAATCATCAGACACTTCCACTGTAACACATTGCAATTGAACATCTTCCTGTACTCCATTTAGCTTTTCTCACCATAAACGTTGTTTCTGAGATCCTCTTCCTAGAAACTTCTGTCATGCATATTCATGCCTCAGAGACTGTTCCAGAGAATACATCTAAAACAGTTGGTAATGGGAGTGTTTCTAGGAAGAAATCTGTAAAATAGGTTTTTGAAGATGGAATAACTGCTATCAGGCTGAAAATGAGAACCATTATTAAAAGTAAGTTGAATACCAATAGCTCTTGGTATGCACTAATAGTGTAAAAAATCTTCTGCACAGCAAAGGAAACGATCAACAAAGTGAAGTGACAACCACCCCCTGAATCCCCCCTAAATATTTGCAAACTATCCGTCTGACAAGGGATTAATAACTAGTATATATAAGGAGCTCACACAAAAACAATAGGAAAAAATCTAGTAATCAGATTTTTAATAAATGAACAAAAAGATCTGAATAGACTTTTTTTAAAGAAGGCATACACATGGTAAATAGGTACATGAAAAGCTGCTCAATATCACTTATCATCAAAGAAATGCAAATCAAAGCTATGAGATATCATCTCACACTGGTTAATATGGCTTATACCCAAAAGATAGGCAATAACAAATGCTGACAACGATGTGGTGAAAACTGAACCCTTGTACACTGTTGGTGGGAATATCACCTAGTACAACCACTATGGGGAAGAGTTGGGAGGTTCCACAAAAAAATAGAGCTACCATATGATTCAACAATCCCACTGCTAGATATATGCCCCAAAGAAAGGAAATCAGTATATTGAAGAAATGTCTGCACTCCTTTATTTATTGTAGCACTATTCACAATAGCCAAGATTTGGAAGCAACGTAAGCGTCCTTCACTAGAAGAAGGGACAGAAATGAAAGAAAACGTGGTACACATACATAATGGAGTACTATTTGGCCATAAAAATAATGAGATCTTGTCATTTACAACAATATGGATGGAACTAGAGGTTATTATGTTAAGTGAAATAAGTCAAATCCAGAAAGACAAATTTTGAATGTTTTCACTTATTTTGGGGAGCTACAAATTAAAATAATTGAACTCATGAACTCATAGAGATAGAGAGGAGAATGGTGGTTACGAGAAGCTAGGAAGGGTAGTGGGGCAGGGGAGGAAGGGATGGTTAATTGGTACAAAATATAGTTAGAGGGAATGAATAAGATCTAGTATGTGATAACACATGATGACTACAGTCAGCAATAATTTATTGTACATTTTAAAATAATTAAAAGCTTATGATTGTTTGTAACACAAAGAAAGGATAAATGCTTTATATGATGAATACCTCATTTAACCTGGTGTGATTATTATGCATTTTATGCCTGTATCAAAATATCTCATGTATCCTATAAATGTATACACCATGTACTCACAAAAATTTAAGATAAAAAGTACTTTCACAAGTTGTCAGCTAAGACGGGAAAGGATGCACTGCCTATGAAATGCTTGAGGTTCTATATATGGAGGAAGGACTAATTTAAAGTACTATCAAATTGAACTGCTATTGCCAGGTGCTCTCAAAAGATTGGAGGGAAAAAAAGTCTGAGTTTGATTAATCACACATAAAAGCTACATTTGAAAACCAGAGTGCCTCTTTGGCAGCTTAGAGACTCATTCCTTGCAGTTAGATGCAAAAAGAGCTGAGGTTCAGCATAAGGCTTAATTATAAACAGTAGAAGAATTCCAGATGTGATGAAATCTCCTATTTTAAAAAGAAGACCCCCTTTTGGGAAGGATAGGACACATAAAATTTGGCAAGGAAACATGGATTAATTTCCTTGAGAACTTTGAAATTCTAGGTCTCCATTAACTTTTAGGTCTTATTTTACGTACTGTCGTTTCGGCTTGCTCAGGTGTGGGGCACAAGGGGAAGAAGGAGGAGCGAGGCTTAAAAGTGGTGAAAAATCAAACGTCAAAAACCATAATCAAGCTATTCATTAAAGTTATTGAATTTATTGATTATTGATTGCTTGTAATTTGATGTCAGTGTTAAATAAGACGAGTGTCTGTGTCATCTGTGGGTGAATAGTTGATTTTGTACTCTAGGATATCTTTATGGTCTTTGTAAAACTTTATCAAAGTCTGTCTTGCCTGGTGGAACAGTATAACTCTCCAAGGTTTCTAACTGACCTCAAGGCATTTCCAAAGGTTACTTACTGAACTTCAATTTTTGTCACTTTAGAATAATGTTGCTGCTGAAAATGTCTCTGTTTTTAATTTTATTTATATTTGTTTTTGGTTTCTTGCCCATCTAGTTATTATATATTTAGAATTGGGAAAATACCTTATGGGAAAATTACCAAAATAAGGAACTCATGTTTATGTGTCTTGCTTCTCTTTGGGATATTGGTCCATAAGTACCAGATTCTTTTATAGCCCTAAACTCCAATTTTTGCCTGCCAAGTCCCATAAGCTTTCAAAAATCTCAGCTAGCTTGTCTTTTCTTTAGCAGCAACTTTCTACCTGATTTTCCAAAAACAGACAACTACTCTTAGGCAAAATTCATTTACTGTTTTTTGATTTCCTTTTCTCTGAGATCTTAGCGCTTTAAGTCTTTGCTCCTCCAGCAGTTAACCAAGGACTTTATTATATTTTGATATCTATCTATATATTAATGTATATTCAAATTTAATCTGATTGTTTCAGTGTGAGTGTTGAAGTTCTGTAACTTGTTTCATTTTATCTAGAAAAGAAAGTGGCATTTTGAATTTAAAATTTCACATTTTCTTATTAAGACATAGATACAGCCAGAAATATGAAGACAAATATTGTCTAAAAAATAAATGAGTAAAATCAAATGCAATTTATATAAGATGCTATAGTAAGTCTAGGCAATTGTAAATTTTGATAAATTGTTACTGTCATTTCTTTATTTTGAACAATGTATTAGATATTATAGTTCTACCAGTTTTGTAAAGAAACTTCTTTTTCATAATAAACTAAGGGATTTTAGATAACAGCATGATGAGTCTCTTGGTTGAGTTCAGCCCCAAACTTTTTCAATCCAAGTCTTTGTATTTTAGCATCATCTCCAATTAGATGTGTTTCATAATCAGGGTGTTTTTACACTATATTTTATCAACTTATGATTCAGGTAATGCATTTATCTAATTTAAAAAATGATTTGTCAACTTTAAAACTCACTGCTCGTTTACCATTTAGTAAAACACTATACCAGTAGAATTTTTCATTATCTAAATAAATTTAAAGTATGTTTTACATTTATAACTCCAACATACGGCATAATGTATTTTTCTACCTGTAAGACCCAAATTATCCACATTTTAAAAAACCCTGATTTAATGTAAAATGGTTTTGTATTTTTTTTTTCTTTCTTTTTTTCTTTTCTTTCTTTTTTCTTTTTTTTTTTTTTTTTTGACAAAGACAGGTTTATAGTTCTGGGTTAAACCTGTGGAGGCAGGACCTGGGAAGGGGCACGGGGACAGATGAAGTTGGTGACTGTATCTTCCTAGTCATTGGTGGGTTCTCAGCACCCTTGGCCCCCACTAAAGTTCTAGGTGAAGTCCAGTGCTGGGGGACGGGGTCCTCTTCCTGACAGTGCAGACTGTGGGATCACTTGTAAGATCCCATATGGAGGTAGGGGGTGGGGTGTTGGCCTGCACTGGGGCCAGCGTCCTCAGGAAGGCTGAGGACGGAGGACGGAGGAGGAGGAGGTGGCGGCAGCCTCCGCGTTCTTCTTGACCGGAGTCTTCAGCAGTGCCAGCTTCTTGGGCAGGATGCTGCTGGCTCTCATCGCCACGTCATGTTCGATCTTCTTCCGGATTCCGACTTCTAGGTTCTTCTTGAGCTTTTGCTGCTGCACGACGCGCGCCTTCCTGGGAGCCATAACACGACCGCCTTTTCTCGGCCCGGATTCTTTTCAGAGGCCGCCGCTACCGTCTTGCTCTTTGTGGCCTTGCGCGCCTGGAACTTGCGCTGCCGCTGCGCCATGATCCGGCACGCAGCGGCAGAGGCTGTATGTTCTTTAGAACATGCTTGATCTTGGTTAGTAAAATTAATCCCTACTTTATATTTAATTATCTGCAGAGGAAAACAAAATGATTTACTGTAATTTTCTCTTCTATTTAAAAACAAAGCCATAGTAGAACGGTAACTGTTGGGATGTAGGGATATTATGGATACCTTATGCTTCTTTCCTTTTAAGGTAAAAACCTGCCCCAAATTCTCGCATATGTTTTAGATCTCACAGTCTTTTTGACATATTTTATAAACCAAGGGCACCTATATATTTATTATTATCTTAAGATTTTAAATTTTTATAATAGGTAAATTTTGTAAGCTTATAGCACAAAATTATAATTTTGTAAACTTGTGTTAAAGTTTAGAGAGCCTGAGTAAGAGTAGTAAATAGATTCCAAGGATTTGGTAAACGGAGAGGATAATTTTGTGTGTGTGTGTATTTTCTCTTCAATTATTTTTATTTAGTTAGTTAATTTATTTTTATTTTTTTCTATTAAGATTGAAGCACATGTGATTTGTTCCTGTTGTTCTACCTAGAATATTAAGCTTTGCTTTTAGGCCTTGAAAATAAAGTGGGAATAGAGAAAATTTAACAGCTGCAGGGTACCATTAGAAATAAACAGAGGAATGTGAAATGTTGATTAAAGATCAAAGAATAGTAGCAGAATTAATTATCTGGAAGCTGTGAAATCACTTACAAACTGCATAAAGCCAAGGCAAGGGAATTGAAAACCTATTACTAATTAATTCTTATAATACATTAATAAAACAGACAAGGCACATCTTAATAATTTAGTGAAAATTTGACTGTAGTATCCAAATTCACCTCTGAAAGGTATATGATTCAGTTGATCAAGCTCTACAAAACTGGCTTCAGGACATGTACTTCCAAGTGGAACACAGGTTGCAAATACAACTGTAAGTGCTACTGAGTTACTAGGCTTGGATGTAGAAATTATAAGGGGGCTTAACGAATATAAATGTAATAGCATTGTTATAATGAAATGTGCCAATTCCAATAATTCTGTGGGGAAAGAAAATTAATTCAAACTTAACCACTGATTACAAAGCAAATGATACAGAATAAAATGAGAAGGACTTCAAAAATGTAGAGCCATTGTAACACCATTCATTTAGAGTATCTAAACAGCTCTTTTCGTCCTATTAGTTCAAATCTTAACAAGTATTAATAAATCATGCTTTATACTGTGTTAATTAATTTATGCAAGTACAAAATTTGGTTACACAGTTTCTTTTTTGATTTTCTGACTTTAAGAGGATTGTAAATGGTCATAACTTGTATTTATTATGTATTAACTTTTTATCTTAAAGATATTCTAGACCTTTTACAGAATAGTAAGCTTGACTTTTCTGGAATGACTTTTAGATTTTGTATTTCAATGGCCTCACTTGAGATCTTTAAGATTGGCTTTTTATTTTATAAGTATTTTTTACTTCTTATGTAAAAAGTGTCTTCAGAAATTCTAAGGACTCAAAAACAATGATAAAAAGTGTTATTGAAAAGTATGTATGTGTAATTAATGAATATTCTTAACGATAATGTTGATGGCCATACTCTCTATAATTTTAAAGTTGCACACAACTATAGCATGCATCAGTAGACCATGGTCTCCTTGATTCTGCCAGAAAAATCAACAGATCAGAGATTTTCACTTACAGAAAGCCTTGTTGATTTAATCTACTATAAGCCACATGGGGCCAAATCAATGTCGAGATGTCAAGTACTAAAACACTGGTTTCTTTGAGAGATATTGGGATTGTGGTACGGCAAGCTGATTCCTTTTCTTCCCTTCAGCTGTGAGAACTGTGAAGTGAATATCGTGGTGTTGTCAACAAGAATATATGTTAGCGAAACATGGAGGCAGTTATTTGGGAAAATAATAAAGAAATCATTTAAACATTCTGAAATGGAATGTCAGTGTCAAAATAATATATATACTAAGGGCATCAAAGTGGCTAATAACCAGGGAATAATTTTAAATAAACTTCATCAAAATAATTATGTGTAAGCTTTTATTTATCGAACGTAATTTTACTTATGCAATGTTAGTGAAATGTGATTGCCACATTTAAACTCACCATGCTTTTCTTGTGGGACATGGGGGAATGGGTAATAATACTTTCTTATATTTGCTTCTCTGGGGATGACACATCTAAACTCTTTTATTCAATAAGCATTTCTTGAACTACTCTATGCCAGATATTGTTCTAGGTTTTGAATTACAGTGATAAAAAATAATAAAATTTTCTGCTATTCTGGACAATGTAATCTAGTAGGGTGACAGATAATAGACTTATAGAAATAAATGCACAAGAAAATTTGGATTGTAAATGCTAGCAAAAAATAAAATAGAATTTGATAGAAATGTTAGACCATTACCAAGCAGGCATCTCTATAGCGCTGTTCACAACATAGCGGCTGGCCTCTCCCACAGTTAATGTGTATCGTAATAGTCTCAATAGTAACATGTCATCATTTCTACCGTATTGTAGTGGTCATACAGATCAATGCGGTTACAGTCTGGAAAGAGGCTACACAAAAGTATGAATGCCAGCAGGTAGGTATCACTAGGGGAGATGCTGGCTGCCATACGTAGTCAGGTTAAACAACTACTAGAGGTCAAGGATGATGGAAAGTGCCAAAATGATCAGAGTTTACTTTGTAATTTAATTTTATTTCTGAAATACAGTGATGTCAGAAGAAGACTAAATAAAGAGGGAGTATGTATGTGATCAATATTTTGAAAGAATCAATTTCTTTGAAAATAGTTTCAATGAAACTATGTCTTTGAAAATATGATATTTCTATCAAGATGGAAGGATATTTCTGACAAGATAGATAGAATGCTTATGTTGACTTGAAGGTAAAGAGAAAGAAAATATAAAGGAACTGTCTGTGAATACCTGAAACCACATGCAAAAATTAGTGGAGGACAAAAATTTTGAAATGTCTGTAAGAATAGAAAAAAAAACAAAACAAGAGAAGGAGATTCCTCTGCCAGTGTTATGGAGAAGAAAGACAATTCAAAGAACACAGAGGTAACACATTTAGACATGGATGAAAGAATGCCTATTAATTTCTGTGACAATGCAGGAAGACGCAAAGCATAGATAAAGAGACTAAGACATTTCAGTATAGGAAAACATATTCATGCAGGAATTTTTCACTATGGTTTTTAGGTAGAATAATAGCTCTCAGAGTAAGAACCGCATAACCCAGGGTTCCAGATTTATTTCCAACCCTTTTTCCTCACGACTATCAATTATCTCAACCTCATTTTCATCCTTAAACTCTGACCATTCTAAACATTGAATGAAACATGCCATTCATTATCAACTTTATTTCTTTAACATTGGTTGATATTGCTAGATAAGAGTATACATGCAACCATACCTTGAAGACAAAGTATCGTTACAAATCTATACATTTAACATAACTGGAGTCTAAGCATAAGATCCTTAGCTTATCTTTATCTAAGATAAAGGTTTATGTTATGGCAGGAAACGTATGCAAACATTTGCAGAAAACAGTTTTAAGTCTGTAGTAGCACTGCATTCCTCTTTTAAAGGCAATATTCATTCCTCATATTTTAGAGATTGAAAATAGTGGTAGAACAAACACACACATTCACACACACCACCATCCTCTTTACTTTCTAAACACATCTAAAACTTCCCTTTTCCATTCTATCAAAGAGACTGAAATACCTATCATTTTTCAAATCTCATGGGTCTTTTTTTTTTGCCTTTTATAAGTCTTTGTCATGAATTATGCACCCCTTCTTACCTTTGTTACTATCTCTCTGTCTCTTTTTCCTTTTGTGTTTTTCTCTCTGATCCTTTGTTCCCTCTCTTTCTCCTAATTTCTGTCTACCAGCATTCTTATAAAATTTTTAAAAAGCAAGAAAAATATTTAATCTCACATTTTATTTAAAAATTATTCTTTATTCCATATTTATATTATCTTGAAATGATGTTTTATGCTTAGTTTCTCGGCTTCTTCAATGTCATACATTTCCTAAAACATTAATGTCTGGCCATTAATCAAACTTTCTCACTCATTCTCTTGTTATTATCTGTACTCTTTTGTACCATCAAAATGTTTGATATAGGCTTACTTACACTTTCTGGCTTACCTAAAATTATTTTTGTTGGTGTATAGAAATTTCTCTCTTTGCAAATTTATCTATATGCAGCATTTGATAGTGTTGTCCATATTCCGTGTTTAATAATATGTTCTCCATTAGCTTCTGCAATTTATTTCTTCTGATAGCACCTGTCTCTCTTACAACATTCCTGACAATTCTTCCCTTTGTAAGTCATGCTCCCTTACCCACATGTCAAATGCTGGGCTTCCTAGCCATGTTTAACTTGATTAATTTATATGCTTAGTTAAAGCCTTACTTGACAAATTTTAACAGAATATTATTAGCTGATAATTTTAGGTTTTTTAGCTGGGAACTATCAATTACATTTATGAAAGTTCATACAAATATTTTCATATTGAATTCCCATTCAGAATTACTTCAACTCAAACTATTATAAGATTTATGGTTTACCCTTCCAAGATATTATACAATATATGTAAATTCTCCTGTCAACACATTCCATTATCACTTACTCTCATCTCTATTTTTCTTTCTCACCATAGCTCAAATTCATAGACATTTCTATAGTCATTTCTTCAAATCTACTACAGAACCTGTTCTTGAAAACAGATTTTCCACTCTATTCCACTGCCAGTGTTAAAATGATCATGAATTAGCTTTTACTTAGAGTGGAAATGGCACACCTCATGACCCTCTAGCAAAATTTTTGCTTCCTGTTTCCACAACATTGTGTTCTGCTGGCCTAAAGGTCTTAGTTCCAGAGGGAGGAATGTTATCACTAAAGAGACACAGCCAAGCCATATCATTCCAGTCTTTGGAGCTGCCCAAAGTCATGGGAAACCACCCCTTGCA